CTCTCTCTCTCTCTCTCTCTCTCTCTCTCTCTCTCTGTGTGTGTGTGTGTGTGTGTGTACACAGTTTATTTTTGTTCCAGCTCACCATGTAGCCCAGACTAGCCTTGAACCCCTAACTCTCCTACTTTCAAAAGTGCTGGGATTACAGGGAGGTGACACCACCTGTGGCTCAGTTCCATGAATTTTTTAAAAAAACATTATTTATTATTGTCTGTGTGGGGATGGGGTGCTTACATCACAGCATGTGTGTAGAGGTCAGAGGATAACTGTGGAATTAGTTTCTCTTTCCTCTTTGCACATTCTTGAGGGAACTCAGGCTTCCAGACTTCCCTAAATAAGCCCTTTCACCTGCTGAGCACCTCAACAGACCATTCTATGCATTTCAGCACCTTTGAGATTAATGCAACCACCATGGCAGTCAGTTTGTTAAGTGGTTCCTGTCCTACCTTCTCTCTCCCTGCCCTTGTAGTCAGACTCTCCCCTCCCCTCACTAGTAACTTGTCTTCTTTCTTGATTATAGTTTTGGTTCTTTCAGAATATCAAATAAATGAAATCCCATAGCATGTGACATTGAGCTTAGTGAATTACATGTGAGTTTATCGGGGCCTCTGTGTGTTCCCTTGCTCCCTTCTGGTTGGTGCTGTGGATAAACCAGAGTTGTTACTTTAATGCCTCTGGAAGGACATGTATGGGTGTCTTCCGCTGTCACATGGCCACTATGAACATCTGTACAGGATTTTTGTTGCTGCTGTTGTGGTCTTTCTTACCTTCTCCCTCACTCCTTGGCACAAGGTCTTACTCTGCAGTCCAGGCTAGTTTGGAGATCTCTACATAGCCAAAGTTGACTTCAAATTTGAAGTAATCCTCCTGTTTTAGCCTCCTAGGGATCATAGGAGTTTGCCACCACACCCAGCTTCCATGGAGTTTCTGTTGTTGTTATTGTTTGAGGCAAATCTCATATAGCCCAGGTTGGTTTTGAACTAATGATCTCTGTGTTTGCACCTCCAAAGTGCCACGATTTCAGGGTGTACCACTATGCCCAACTAAGATATTCAAAGACTTGAGCTGGGAACAGTTTTATACCCACCATTCCTATCCCACAGCCAGGAGACTTTGCCCTGTCATCCTTCCTCGTTGCACTTACCAATCCACAAGATTCTGTGTTGCATTTAAGAGTAAGTGACAAACATCTATGCACAGCCCCCACACACAACTGAGGCATTCATTCCATCAACTAGCAGTCATGTTTTAGTCCTAAAACCCATGTAAAACAAAAACAGTTCCATGGAATTCTTCCTTGTAGACAATTGGAGGAACTGGGTCAGAGTCAGAGTTGGTGCCAGTTGGTTGACCTTAGGCTAGGCATCCTACCCCTGATCTGCAGGACTGATGGCTGAAGGACACCTGAGAGTCCAGATGAGCACAGGCAGAGGAGCTGAGCACACGGTACCTGGGGTGGTGCTTGGACATCATGAGTCCACAGCTACTGCTATCATGAACCAGCTGTGTAAATGCCCTTCTAGAACAAATCTCTTTTTTTAGGGTAGTTCCTTCAGGTAGGAGCAGTCACACACACACACACACACACACACACACACACACACACACCTGTCTGATGTGCCTGGGAGCTGGTAAATAGGGTGAGTGTGAAGCCAAGGCCATCATTCATCCCTGCTTACCTTTGTCCTCCCTGGAACAAGTGTCAGGAAAGCCCCCCTTCCAAAGGGCTTTGCTTGTGCTGGGAACTTTGGGTGTGGGAGTGTTGGGCAAACAGCACCCCATGGAGGAGAGGCTCACCCAACATGATCTATAAACCATTGCTAGCTATGACAGTGAAGCATGTCTTAACTCTGGAGCTGGTAAAGCATTGTACACACAGGTCCTGGGAGTGGCCATGCTTAGCACACAACTCTGCTCCCAGAAGAGCTCACAGGCACACACAGGATCACTGCTCTGCTCAAGTAAGCACCAGTACACCTTCAGCAGCCCCGTGTTTACAGTGTCATCATCAACAGTTTTTCTTTCTTTCTTTCTTTTTAAGATTTATTTTTATGGCTGGTGGTGGCATACACCTTTAATCCTAGCACTCAGGAGGCAGAGGCAGGCACATCTTTGAACTCAAGGTCAGCCTGATCTAAGAGTAAGTTCCAGGAAAGCCAGGGCTATATACAGAGAAATCCTGTCTCACTATCTTAAATTATTTTAAATGATATCTTATTTACTCTCTCTTCCTCTCTCTCCCTCTCTCTCTCTCTCTCCCCCTCTCTCCCCCCTCTCTCTGTGTGTGTGCTCACCTTTAATCCCAGAACTTGGGAGACAGACACAGTTGGATCTTTGAGTTTGAGACCAGCCTGGTCTACAGAGTGAGTTCCAGGACATCAAGGGCTACACAAAGAAACCCTGTCTTTAAAAAATGTTAATACAATCAGAAGTCAACAATAGATATCCTTGAATGTGTTTTACAGTGATTTAGATTTTCTCTTCTAAATTCTCTGCAGTACACATTTCTTTTATGAATGATATGGCAATATAAAGTTAATTTGGCGAGTGGAGAGTATAACAGCCCTGGCTGTCGTGGAACTCAATTTGTAGACCAGGCTGACCTCAAAGGCACAGAGATCCACCTGCCTCTGTGTCCAGGATACTGGGATTAAAGGCGTGCACCACTATGCCCAACTCTCCTTTCAACTTTTAAATGACTTTATTGAATGAAAACAAGGATATGACCATTCCTAGATGTAGTTGAAGAAAGGTTTTATTGTAAATATTAGGGAAACAAAACAGCCAGAGACATCTGGAAGTCCAGACCAACAGAATGGGAGAGTGAGAGGCCAAGAGGGATCCAGGGAACACCATGAGGTCTTGTAGCCAAAATGACCGAGTTATATAGAGGAATTATATAGAGCCACTAGCTCCTACCTCTACCTCAGGCTGACAGGGCTGATCCTGTCTCCACAAGCTCTTACCAAACCTCAGACTGCTGCCTCTCTTAGCATGGCTGGAGAATGAATGCCAGCCCTCAGATCCTGTTCCTGTCTGAAATACCTCTCATGAATTCTGGGATTAAAGGCATGAGCTCTATTAATCTTTTGGTGGCCTTGGACTCAGAGAGACCTTTGTCTCCTGAGTCCTGGGGTTAATGGTGTGTGCCACCACAACCTGGCTTCTATAGCTAACTAGTATGGCTGCTTAGCTATTTTGATCTCCAGTGACTTTAATACATCATAAACAATATATCATCACCACATTTGAAGCTAGGGGAAGGAAAGCTCAGCCCTTGGGCTGGAGAGAATGAAGGTCAGGGCAAGGTGAGAAGTGCTGAGGAACCGCAGGTACTGAGTGATGCTGGGAGAGCGGGCATTTGTCCAGGGTTCCTCGAGGCCTAACATTTACATATTATTAAAACAGTACAAAAACAATACAGGAAGGGGGAGTCTGGCTAGATGGTTCAGCTGGTAAAGATGCCCATGGGAAAGAGTTGGGCTTGACTCCAGGAATTCACATAGTAGAAGAGAACAGATTCCCAAAACCTGTGTTCTGATCTCCACACGTGTTGTGGCATATACACCCCCCAAGAATAAATAAATGTAACTTTACAAAAATCAAGTAAGGAAGGAAAGGCATTTTGGCTGTCCTCATTGCCTTTCTGAGCATTATTTCTAACTTAAAAAAAATCCTATTATGTGATTAATGTGTCTATTTATAGGAAACAGTATAATATTTTTATGTTGTATAATGATCACATGGGGTATTTGGTATAGCTGCAACCTACTATGTATATCATTTCCTGATCGACTGTGCTCATTCACAAGCATGAGCTTCCATTTCAGGGTTCAATATTACTGACCTCAGAATGCAAAACTGTGCAAGAAGACAGTGATAAATTGCCAAGTTTTGTTCATGTTTTTAAAGATATTTTACATTTTATTTAATGTGTGTGGTGGGGTACATGTGAGCCACCATGCATTATGGTAGTCAGGAATCATTTTTGGAAGTTATTTCTCTCCTTCTACCATGTGGGCCTAGGGAGTAGACCTCTGGTCGTCAGATTTGGTGGCAACTGACTCTACCTGTTGATCCATCTGGCCAAACTGAAAGAGGAAGTGCTTGGGCATTGAACATAGGGCCTCTGGCATTCTATATAAACACTCTCCTATATCCCTAACTCAAAGAGGAAATTATTTTATTTATTTATTTATTTATTATGTTGTTTGGAGACAGGGCTCTTGTGTCTTAGGTTGGCCTCCAACTCACAGTGTAGCTAAGGATGATCTTGACTCATCCTCCAGCCCACCTCCTGAGAGCTAGGGTTACAGGTGTGAACCACCACAACTTGTTTTGAAAGAGGAATGTTTTAATCATTGAACTCAAGTATGTATTTATTTTCTTTTGAGATGTTTCTCTTGATGAAACTCTTATAATAATTTCAGGAATGTACTCTACATAGTCTGAGTACAAGAAGAAATGTCTTACCACTTACCAGGGCATATTCAGCTTTATTTGTGAGGCATGAAAAAGAGTACCAACGACCCTGCATATCAATTTGTGTTTAGGATCATGCTTAAAGTATCCCTCTGGAACTTTATCTCCTGTAAGTAGATGTGATACCCCATCCAAAAAGGTCCAGGATCTGTTTGCATTTCTGCTTTTCGTGTGGCAATGTCTTGCTAAAAGCGCACATTTTATTTCTGCTCTAAAATTAGGGCATCTACAGCTATTGGTGAGCATATCTTACTTTTTAGTAAACGGCATTGGAGACATATGGTTTAAGTGGTTGTTCTTCTTTGCAAAAGGAAATTCCTTATTTCCCTGCCTTCGTTTATTTTTCTCTTTTATTCAACTTAATCCATTCCTTTTTAACTTCAGGCGGTTACTCGAAGTACGCATGCGCACTCCTGGCATGGCGGTCCCACCCTCAGTTCTGACCATTGGCTGGCTCCGGCCGGCGCGCTCTTGATTGGTTCCCGCTCGCCAAGCCCCTGCTGCCAGTCAGAGTTGGCGGGAAAGTGGCATTGACGCAGCATGGCGGCGGAGTCACTGACCTCGGGTGGCCCCGGGTCCGTGCGGTTGCCGCGGTCGCCACCACTCAAGGTGCTGGCAGAGCAGCTGCGGCGCTACGCGGAGGGCGGCCCGGGCGCGTGGCGGCTGTCGCGGGCGGCGGTGGGTCGAGCGCCGCTGGAGCTGGCGGCCGTGTGGATGCAGGGAACGGTGCTGGCGGCGGAAGGCGGCCAGGCGCGTCTGCGCGACCCGAGCGGGGCCTTTTCCGTGCGCGGCCTGGAGAGAGTACCGCGAGGCCGGCCCTGCCTGCTCCCAGGTAATGAGGGCTATACCGGCTCTGCTGGGGGCTGGACCTCCCGGGGGCGGGGGCGCTCCCACATCCAGACATTCGTCTGCCTTTCTGTCCCAACCCCTGTCAGGTGACTCCCAGACCTATGGGATGATTGCAACACCTGCTACCACCTTCAAAAATGTAGGTTTCAATCTGGCCTGGTGGTACACACCTGTCATCGTAATATTAGGAGACTGAGGCAGGAGGATGGCAAAGTTCAAAGCCTGTCTGCCTGTCTGCCTGTCTGAGCTATAAGAGTGAGTTGAAGGCCTGCCTAGGCAACTTAAGTGAGAGCCTGTCTCAAAACAAAAAGTCAAGAGGACCTGGGGTGATACTCCGTGGTAGAGCATTTCCTAGCATTGATAAAGCTTTGGGTTCAACCCAGACTGCAAAAATAGTAAATAAATCAATGAAAATACCCCAGGTTCCTGAGCTCTCCTAGTCCTCCCTAGTTTTGAGCTTTTGGCTTCTCTGTCACAAGACTTCTCCCCATAGATATTTTCATTTTCTCCATATGTTTTTGGAAATAATGTCTCATGAAATGTGTCTATGTCCTTTTCTGTTTATTTTGAGGCAGGGTCACATGTAGTCTCAAATTCCTTGTGTAGCTGAGGATGATTTTGAACTCCTGAATTTCTCACTTCATTTTCTGAGTGCTAGGATTACAGGCATATGCCACACACCTGGTTCACGTGGTTCTGGGGGGGGGTGAGGTCAAACCCACGACTTGTGCATATTAGACTAGCAATCTTCCAACTGATACCCCAGGCCCATGTCTGTTCATTTTTAATGTCCTAAGACAAATGGACTTACGTCTGGAAAAGACACTGTTACGCCAAGGGATTGGGGGCACTTTTCTATACCTTTCCTACTGAGATCAACATAGCTGTGGTTCACAATTCTCAAACAGCTGCTGCTCACATTTAAGTGACCATCATCCCATGCCTAGAGCTTTGGTGAAGTCCATCCCCTCAGGGTTTCTAAGTCTCAGGACTTACTTCTCATATGCTCCAACCAGATGCTGATATTGCTGTGTTTGAGACCGGCCTCTGCTTGGTCCTGACAGTTTGACCCTAGCATCTGGTCCAGTGCCTGACCCCTAGGTGTCCTGAGCACCAGATAGTCTAAGAGATAGGCATTAGGGCACCTGGGGTCTCATCTCGTTGACAAGGATGTCAAGCGAACATATATACATGGGGCCTTGTGTGAGATGCTAGGCTGCAGCTATGACCCAGATACACAAGGCCTGTGTCTACTTGACTCTGGAGCTTTACCACCAGCTCAGGAAGTTTCTGAAAGAAGCCTATGGATTCACCAGACCTGCCTTTCTGTGGTCCTTCTCTCCTTCTCTGTGAAATCAGGCCAGACTCTGTTCCTGCTCAGAGAGTGGGATTCTGTCTAGAGACAGACTGGGTCAGGGGTGTGACCTTTTCTGTTCTCTCTCTTTCCTCTCTCCAGTCTTACTCTAATTTAAGACTAGCAAACTCAAATGAACCGTAAACTAAAAGCAGTTTACACACACACACACACACACACACACACACACACACAGTGCTGTGACTCACACTTAGTGCCTTATCACTGAGCTATATCTCCAAATTCAACTTTTACTTTGTTTTGTGTTAGGAGTAGGTTTTCCCCCCAACCTGGTCCCATAGCTTTGCCAGCCCCAAATAACACACAAAGATGCTGTATTATATATAAAACTGTTGGCCTGTTACTAGCATTACTTATTGGCTAGCACTGTCTTAAATATTAACCCATTTCTATTAATCTAAGTATTTCCACGTGGTCTTATCTTACCAGAGAGAGGGCCCAGAGTTGTTCTTTCTTGGTCCTACATTTTGAATCTCCTACCTACCTCTCCTTGAAATCTCCTTGTCTCCTAGTCCTGCCTATCCTGCTTTCCAATAGGCGAATAGTGCTTTATTCATTAACCAATAGGAGAAACATATTTATAGAATGACATCTCCCATCAGTTTTGTTTTGTTTTTGTTGTTTGTGTAGGATATCTCTTTGTATCCCTGCCTGTCTCACTATGTACACCAACCTGGTCTTAAATTTATAGAGATATGCCTGCTTTTGCCTCCTGAGTGCTGAGATTAAAGGTGTGCACCACCATGAGTTAAAATTCCACTGATAGAGAAAAAGACCACTACCACAATTCAAAGCCAAATTTGAAGCACACTTTAATTAAATACTGGCCAGGTAGATGAGCTGCGGCCAGGGATCTCTAGATTTTCAGAAGATGGCCCCAAATCATGGTTTATAACATCTTAAGTATTTCCCATCAGGTTCAGTCAGAGGCAAGCATACATCCAGTCAGGGGAAAGTGAACATCCTATTGTATTTCCTGTTTGTGAATCTCCTGCCCACATGTGATCAAGCACATCTGGTGCAGAGGGGTCAAACAAAATTGTTTAAGAGAGTGAAAATGTGTCACTTGCTCTCTGCTATAAACAATAACCTCCAGCATTTCTGGAACTACCTGTTCTTGGGCAAGGGGCTTGCAGATCAGAGGCATTTTTGTTTGACGAATCTCTAAGACATAGTAATTAAAACTTAAAATGTAGCTTTGGCTCTCACACATGCTGGCTCTTTAGAACTATTGTAGAACTATTTTATTACATCTTATCTTGAGTAAGGGTATATGTGTGCATATGTGTCTGCCATAATACTTATGTGGAGATCAGAAGACAACTTGGAGTCCAGTTCTCTCCTTCTATCATGTGGGTCCCAGGGATTAAACTCAGGTTGTCAAGTTTGGAAGCAAGTGCTTTTACCTGTTGAGCCATCTCACTGGCCCAGGTTTTACTTTTGTTTGTTTTGAGACAGGGTCTCAAACTAGGTAGCCTTGGGTGGCCTGGAGTGCACAACGTATATTAGGCTGGCCTTGAACTCAGAGATCTGCCTATGCCTCCTGAGCACTGGGATTAAAGGTGTGTGTCTGATACCTGGCCTGTGTTTTATATTTTGATGCATTTAAAAAAGATTACAGTGTGTTCAAAATCAGCATCTGCAAGTGAAGTTTTATTGAGGTGAAATGCTTTTGTAATTTGCAAAAGGTTAGGGTCACCGTGCTACTGTAATAACATAGTACAGTAGTTGTGACATAGGGCCTATGACTTACAAAAGTCTGACTTATGTAGTCTGGTCCTTTAGAGAAAAAGTTGACTACCCTTGGCCTTAGGTTTGGTGTTGCTCACATTCCATGGTGTTTGATGTCCAGCCTAGGCAATGCCCCTTGAGGTCAGCCTTGGACAGTGTCTCAAGTCTGGTGCTAACAGTGGAGTGAGCCTGATACTCCCTGATGTCCCTGTGTTGGACAGAACCTGTTGGCCTCACCCTCTAGCCTGTATGCCCAGGGGCAGGGTCCATGCTCTCTCCTCTTGCTCATTAATCATCTCTTCAGGGACCAGGGAAGTAAACAGGCCACTAAAACACAAGGTTCCATTATAGATGAGCCCAGGCTGTGCGTGCAGGGGTGACAGCTCTTCCTTTTATTTGAGTGGCACTCACAGTACCTGCCTCAATGTTTGTGAAGTAGAAAAATCCCAACAACAGCATGCCACATGTTAGCCACTGATAGCCTCTAGAGACCTGGGCCTCCAGTTGCAGAGCACAGAGACTTTTGTCCATCTGGCTGGTTGGTTAATCTGGTATTTATTTGGGGTAAATAGATACAGAACTAGACACAGAACAAGGATACATGTTCAAGGCCCAAGGGGGCGGGATTAGGGAAGGCTTCCTGGAGAAGGCAGCCTTGAAAGCTATATTGTACTTATCTGTAGGGACTAACCCTCTTGGATTGTTGGGACTCAGGACATTCAGTGTCAGCATTGGGACATTTTTGGTGTGTGCATTAATGGATTATCAGCTCCTTTGAACAGCATATGCAAAGGCCAGGGGCAGGAAACAGGGCCCCATGGGGCACCAAAGGCCTGGAGGCAGGGAATGGGGTGGGGGGCACAGCACAGAAAGGCTATAGTTTGGGAAGGACCTGTCCTTGCTAAATGACCTTGATGCCTGCTGGTCTGCTACTTCCCAGCCCCTGCCTGCCTCTAGGGCATCCAGCAGTTTCTCTCCAGGCTCTGAAGACACAGGGAAGTTGGGAACTCTGCCCTCTGGTCCTCATTCTGCAGGCGGTGTTGCTTTTACTGTGCTGTGATGGGCAGTCTCTTGGGCAGGAGCATGGTTGGGAGGACACAGGCCAGATCCATGCAGTAGCCCAAACAGGAGAAGGTGAAGGCTTGGTCTTGGGCAGGGTCCTGTGGGGAAGGAGAAATGGAGAAATATGGGTGCATGGGCACTGCACTGGTCCCAGTGTGTTGTGTAGTGTCTTCTGCCTCCAAGCTCCACAGAACAAGTCTGTTAGCCTCCCCTGGTCTTCAGCCTTGTAATTCTAAGGATTTTGTCTTTACCACCAGTTGGGGCCCTGAAAAGATCCTCCTATGGCCTGTCAGGGGAAACATGGGAGGGATGGGCAGCCCCAGTGTTTAGCTAGGCTTGTGGGCAAACTCATCCTGCTTGTGGAAGCCAGGCATGCAGGGGACTGACTGCTTGCCTTTCCTGCCGTGACAAGGGACTTTTTACACAATTGCATTTTGTGTGTTTTATGACTAGCCAAGTTGCGCTTTCAAGGAGAGGCACTTACCCCAGGGAATGGGAAGTTGTGGTTAATAGTGTGTCAGATCATCCAGTGGCAGCCTGTTCTGTTGATTTCTCTGTGTGCCCAGTGTGGCTTTGGATAAAGTTGGGGGTGGCAGGGACTGGAACAACAGCACAGTGTGTCTTGGGTGGTGAGAGGAGGGGTGTCTAACTTTTTTGGCAGTGTCGGGGAAAATTGGATTTACATTTTGGCTGTCAGGAAGTGGCTTTGCAGGAGTGCTGTCTTGTGAACAGAGACCAGTCACTCGCTCTGGCATTGAGCAATGTACAAGACTGAGAGCAAAGCTTGGGTTTTCTGCGCCTGCCTGGGGGCAGTGGTGTGTCTAATTATAACTCAGTGGGATCCAGAGATGCTTGCATTCCAGGGGCATGACTGCTGAGTGAGCCTGTCTATTGTGTTTAGCACATGAAAAGCAGATGCCAATAAGATGCAGATGTCATCCTCCAGGTTAAGCGCTGATCTCATTGGTCATACATGTATCTATTTTGATCCCAGACTGCCTTTGTTTTGGTATCTACTTTCAGGATTGTATGAATGTGTTCATGTTCTCATGTGGGAGTGTGCTCACACATGCCTGTGCATGTGGAGGACAGAGGTACATCAAGTGTCTTCCTCGATTGTTCTCACCTTATTTTTTGAGACAGAGTCTCTCACTGGACCAGGATGGTTGGGCATAGAGCCCCAAGGATCCTCCTGTGTCCATTTCCTTAACACTGATCACATATGCATACACCTTACCATGCTTTTCACATGGATGCTGGGGATCTGAACTGAGATTCTCCCCCTCAGCTCCTCCCCCTTTTATTTTGCAGGGCTAAATATCAAACGTAGGACCTAGTGCATGCTAGGCATGAGGTTTGCCTCCAAGCTGCATCCCCCAGACCATAGATAACCTTTTTGTCTCCATCTTCCTTCTATGATCAAGGCCCTGAAGTCAGGGTCTTTGTAGGTTGTCCCCAACTGCCTTTTTAGTGTGAACATCACCACATCCTTTTCTTCTCTTCCCAGGAAAGTATGTGATGGTGATGGGCGTGGTTCAGGCCTGTAGTCCTGAGCCCTGCCTACAGGCTGTGAAGATGACGGATCTTTCTGACAATCCTGTCCACGAAAGCATGTGGGAACTGGAGGTGGAAGACTTACACAGAAGCATCCCTTAGAGCTGGGATCCTTGAGAACAGCTGCTCCCCGAAGTACTTAACCACCTTGTGAGTTTCCGGGACATCGAAAAGGTTTCCTGAAGAGATGTCCACACCCTGGGAGCTAGAGCTTCTGTTAAATCTGCCTCCTCTCTGCTCAGGGATTTGGCTGCCGGTGGACGAGAAGCAGAGGCTCCAGGCTTTTCCATTTTCATCATTTATGTGTGTTCATTTCTCTCTCTCTAAAGCACATGGAGATCTCATGTTGCCATCCCTGATGTGTCAAGTGATAACACTTTCTTCTTGATTGTATCCCGTTTTAAGATGCAAAATCTGAATTTCCGTTATTGCCAGTGGGATTAAAGTTATGGATATGAGGACAGATTGGCACTGCAGCCTGTCTTCCCATCTCCAGCTGCCAGTTGCCAGCAAGCATCCCCATGCAGACAGGGCTCTCTCTGCTTCAGTATGCTCACTCCTCATTGTCTGTTTCCTTGGATGCAGAAGGTGAGACCAGCTATTGAGGATAGTCGGAATAGTCTCACAATGCTTTTGAAATTAAAAACCCAAGACAGAAATAGACTTTTCAAGTACTTCTGCTTCAGAACCTTTGTGGAGAGACAGCCAGGGAGCAAATAGCCTGCTAGCTTAGAGTTCTGGACTTTCTGCATGAAATGCCTTTCTGCTGGGATTGTATCAGTGTTTGGCTTTGGCTTTCTGCTGATCACCAGGCTAGATTCATGTCTGGATGGTAAAGACCAAGGCAGTCCATATTAGTCTCTGTACCACTGTAGTACTTTCCAGATGACTGATATTCTACACTAGTAACATTTCTGTATGGCTAGGTTTCAAAAATAAGCTTGATTACTTGTTTGTTTGTTTGTTTCAAAGACAGGGTATCATGTAGCCCAAGGTAGCCTCGAACCCCTGACCTTCTGTCCTCCACTTCTGAGTGTTGAGATGATGGGTGTGTACCATTACCCTTGCTTTCTGCGGTGCAGGGGATTGAACTGGGGCTTTGTGCCTGTCATGCAAACACTCTGCTGACTGACCTGCAGCTCCAGCATGACCAGTGATTTGTTAAAACAGTTGTGGGGTTTCAGAGAAATTGAACAGAAAGTGCAGTGTTCCCATAAACACCATTGAACCTAAGGCTTTGTGTATGTTAGGCAAACACTGTCACTGAACTTGAGCTCCAGCTCACTGATTTTAAGACAAGTGTCTTAAAATAAGGCTAGCCAGATGTGGCTCCCCTACACCTTCACAAACCTATATTGCCATGAGCATCAGGTGGTACTTACCATCAGATAAACTCAGGAGCCACTTGGCAGGAGAGGGACACGAGGGGGGAGGAGAGGGAATCCAGAGGTGATCTAGACCTGGCTCTTTCCTGTTCCCTCACACCCCCCCCCCCAATAGAAAAAGTGTCCAGGCCTTGAGCCCATCAGGAAGAGGCAAAGTGAGACTGTAGGAAGGCCAGTGGCAGTCAGGAGTCGGGGAAGGAACTTTTAGGGCTCTCTAGTCCAGGCTGGCCTCAAACTCACAGAGATCTGCCTGCCTCTGCCTCCTGAGTGCTGGGATTAAGGGCATGTGCCACCAATACCCACTTCTTTTTATTTCATTTTAATGTTATTTGTGTGTGTGTCTGTATGTGCGAGTCTAGGAAGGACATTGTATTCTCTGGAGCTGGAGTTTATAGGCAAGTCTGAGCAGCCAGTGTGGGTTCTGGGAACCCAGCTCAGGTCCTCTGGAACAGCAGCAAATGCTCTTAACTGCTGAGCCTTCTCTCCATCTCCAGTGTACATCTTTTGAGCTACAGAAAAAAAAAATGCAAAAATAGTACAGTCCTTAATATTTTTATTTGTTTGTTTGCATGTTTATTTCCATGTGAGGCAGGGTGTCTGTAGCCGGGTCTGTCCTGGAACTCCTGACCCTCCTGCCTCAACTTCCTGAGTATTGAGATTACAGGTGTGCACCACTAAGCTTGGTTTATGTAGTGTTGGGGATCAAAAAGGACTTCTTGAATCATAGACATACCACGTTTCTGTCATGAACATCTTACATTAGTATGGCATGGATGTTAAAACTAATTAACAAATTAATGATCAAATACAGAGAAGTTAGTAACCAAATCTATAGTTTATTCTGGTTTCTCATCTTTTTGGTTTTGAGCCTAGTCTTTAATGTCTGAGCCATCTCTCCAGCCCTGTTCTGGTTTTATTTCTTCTTTTCACCCCCCAGGATTCCACATTCTATTTAGTCATTGTGTCTCCTTAGGATCGCCCTTGTCTGAGACACAGATCAATTGTTTTTTATTGCATTGGAATTTAATAAACAGACACACATACACAGACAACATACACACCAACACGAACACATAGGCACACAGACTACACACACACACACACACACACACACACACACACAGACAACTTACACGGACACAGACAACACAGACACAGACTAACACACTCACACAGACAACACAGATACAGACTACACACACACAGACAACACATGTACACACAATGACACAGACAATGCAGTCACACTCACAGACACAAACACACCATTTCAGCACAGGGCTTCTTGCATGCTGAACAGACTCCAGTGCTGAGCTCTAGCCCCAGCCCAAAATTAATTAATTTTGAGACAGAGTCTCATATACCAGGTGTGCATGATTTTGAAGCCCTGATCTGCGGGCACTTGCCATGTTGTAATTGCAGGTGTGCACCACTCCAGGCCAGGTTCCCGCATGCCAGGCAAACACTCTATCACTTGAACTCCAGTCTGAAATTTAATTTTGATGCAAGCCACAGGATCTCTGCTATAGGATTCTTAGTAAAATGGTGTCCCCAAACTGTTAAACCCCAGAGGGGCTATTGAGCACCTGTGTGGCCTGAGTGGCACAAGCCTAGTCTGCTTCTACACTGGAGAACTAGACACTGCCTACAGCTTCCCAGCTGTGTCCTCACCTAACTCCTGGTGAATAACACCCGATGGAAAAAATGTGGGCTGGCTGGAGGTGGCCAGCTGTGGGGGGAGGAACGCTGTAGACAGCAGTGGCCAGTGACTGGAGGCTGCCTCCCCAGCACAGAGCTGAGCCTGTGGTTTCTCTGCACATTCAGAACTCTCACTGTTGGGCTGCCGTTTCCTCTCTGACAGCGCCAAATGAAAATGCATCCGGAGGCTTCAGCTCTCAGGCTGCCAAATCAAAGTCAGTTTATCAGTGAGCACCCGCCAGACCGCTGCTCTGGCGGCAGCCTGTGTGCCCGACCAGCGCAGCTTCCCTTTTGAAATGCTCTTTTCTAAGAACTGAGAATAAGCAACCTAGGCTGTGACTTCACTTTTCTCGGAACTGCTTTACATTATATATATTTTAAAAATGTGAAACCATCACTTAGCTGGTTTTGGATTGCCTGAGTTCCCTAATTCTTTCTGTTGCATGTTCTTGTAAAGCTGAAGTGTTACCGCAAAATTCTGCAGGAGGGGGAAAGAATGGCCATGTGAAGTAGGGGTGTGTCTTGTGTTTTAGCTGGCTTGTGTATGATTTAATGATTAAGGAGAAAAAGAAACTAGAAGAGATGCCATGGAAAGTCAAGGATCACCGCTGGCTGGCTGGCTGGCTGGCTGGCTGGCTGGCTGGCTGGCTAGAGTTGATGCTGGGCACTTGGGCCATACTTCCTGATCAGCTAGTTGCCTCTTACAAGGATAAGAGGGAACCTGGGTGTAGTGGCACACACCTGTAACCCTGATATTCTGAAGTGAAGGCCACTGTGGGCTATAACACAAGTTCCAGGCCCTTTAGGGTGAAATGCTTGCTTGGCGTGGATGAAGCCCTGGCTTTGATTCCCAGCACTCTAAAAAGCCAGGTGGTGTTGTGCTTGTCTCTAATCCTAGCACTAAAGAGGTAGAGGGTCACAAATTCAAGGTCACCATGGGCTACATAGCAAATTCAAGGCCAGTCTGGGCTATGTGAGAAACAAAACAGGATGGCGGAGAAAGAGTAGATGCATCTTTAGCCACAGTGACCTGTATCAAGCAGATAATAGCTTTGAGCCTGTGATTAAGGACATCATCCTGGGGTTCCTACCTTCTTGGGATTAGGGGACTGAAGCACTGTCACACTTTGGGGACTGGTCCTGGTCCTGTTTCTTGCCCGACCTTGGGTTTGAAGGCCAGCCTTTGAGGTGGAGGCAACCCTTCTTTCAAAGGGTTTTTGGGAACTGGATTTAGCCATTCCCTCCTTCTGAGTGCTGAGGTCTGGAAGTTTTAAACTCCTACCTTGGTATCTCTGTGCCCCAGGGACTCACATAACGCATAGGTCCTCAGTAAGTGCTGGCTAACTTTCAGATTGGAGGTCGAAGACACACAAGCAAAGACAGTGCTCGTGAACCTTGGTGTTTGAGGGTTTTAAAAAACGTTTGTGTCCTCATTTATTTGCTTGCTCATTTATTTTGTTTGTATGTATATATGTGCACATTGCTGTGGAGATCAGAAGATAAATTGTAGGGGTTGATTTTTGATTCCTACCAAGTGGGATGTGGGTTCAAACTTGGGTCATTGGGCTTGGTGAAGCACCTGTACCCTCAGAGCCCTCTTGCTGTCCTGAGTTTGAGTTGTTTTGTTATTATTGTGTTTTGTTTTTGTTTGTTTGTATTTTGTAATTTTTAAGATTTGTGTGTGTGCCCACATGTATCCAAGACAGTGTGTGGAGAAAGGGGCTCAGTGGTTAAAGCTTTGCTCAATCCTTAGGACCCACAGTGGAGAGAGTGGACTGCCATGAAGAACAAACCCGGAGATGAAGCCCTGTGTCCCAGCTCATCTCGTCAACAGGCCACAGGGTCAAATCATGAGCTAGTAAGTGCCTGGTATTATTAGGGACACTTTTCTTGAGAGCTAGCACCTCAGGACTGGTCTAGAGTGGATTATAGCGCCCCCTGCTGGTGGTTGGGATGAGAGCCAGAGACCAGAACAAAAAGCCACAAAATGAAGCAAAGGAACAAAAAATTTCACAGCATCCACCCTGGAGTTTTGCCCATTGTGACCAGATTGAGGTGGGGTGGAGTGGGAGTGGTCT